CAATTATGGAAGAAGCACTGTCACATACATTATCTTATTTAATCCTCATAACAACCCTATGAGGCATGCATTTTAATTTTAATCTTAGAGCTAAAGAAGCTGAGCATAAGGAAGGTTGCCAGGGTTTCCAGGATCACACGGTAAATGGCAAAGGTGGGGTTAGGTCCAGGGTTCTGTAGTTTCAGAACCTACATTTTTTTCATCATATCCAGCTGCCTCCCATATTTTATTCATCTTCAGATGTCTAGAACACAGTGTAGCACCTGGCAGAGAAAAGATGCTCGATAATAGTTAATGAATGAATGTATAAATCAGTGAAACATATTCTCAAGCTAACTGCCTTGAGTGGATTAAAAACAACTCGAATATGAGGATTTATGAAGAATGCTTAACCTCCTTTGGCATCAGATTACTCTTTATAAAGGTGGATTTGCACATCCAATATTTTTAGGTGCTGGGTTTGATATACCTCTGCTATCTCACCTCTGTGCAGCCCTTTCAATTTTAGGTTGTCTCCCGCTGGCTGCCCAGGAAGACAGCTGCTCTCTCTGGGTTATACCCCATTTTTGTCCCTGGCTCAAGCCTGTTGGCTGCTAGAAGGAGTGGGTGCCTCTGGCTTCTCATCCTTTATGCTTGTAGAGCCACTGATGCTTCACATAGTACTGGCAGCCACAGTACCTCTATGCAAAGACACACTGTATATTAGCCATGACTCTTTACACTGCAAGCCACAGAAACTCACTGACTGAAAAAGAAATGTGTAGGCTTATGTAACTGAGACGTTCACAGGATGAACTAGCCGTAGATATGGCTGGATTCAGAGCACAAATAGACTTACTATGAGACCAGTGAAGCTTAACCTACTGGATTTCTCATTGCTTGGCTCTGTATTAGGCACTGAGAGAGGCCCAGTGACATGTTTATATAGTAATATGTTTTTTTCATAGTTGTAAATTTCACTTCCCCAATTCAAGAGCCAGGCAAGCTGTGCATTGGAAGAGTAATGCAGGGAAGAAGGGTTCTGAACAAATGGCAGGAAAAAGCCGCTGTGACTATGTGCATGTTCTGCCCAGGATAGAACCCCACCCTTCTCTCCTACTGGCTAATGAAAGGTTCAGCTCAGGTGGCACTTAATCCAGGAACCTCTGCTGACACACTCCCAATGCCCCTCCCCTCAGCCTGGTACCCCTGCAGTGTTCCCATGAGCCCCTGGGGGCTTTATTCTATTATAATAGCACTCTTCTCCCTGTCTTGTAATTGTCAGTGCTCATCTATCTCCCCACATGAGACTGTGAGCTCATTGAGATGGATTCTGACTTAATTCTTCAATCTCGAGCACTTAGTAGAGGACTTGTCACACAGTAGTCCTACAACAGAGGACTTTTATAAATGAAGAAGCAAAGCAGCCTCAAATAGTTTGGCTCAGAGAGACAGCTGAAGTTTTTTGGCGTTGCTGTCTTTCATGGCGCTAACTTGACAGTTGCATAACATTGAACTTCAGGTTACCTCTGACCACGGAGGAAAAAAGCTTCATAGAAGAATGCAGAAGTGAAAAGCACAGGGCTAAAGCTTGCTCTTTTTTTTCCCTCTCACATTTTCTACATTTCCTACATTTCTCTACACATGGTCATGCCTGTATTTTCCTCTTACATCTTCCTTGGATACTTCGGGAACTCGTTGAAACTAAGACTGAACAGGTTATATGAGTGAGTCAAAGGCCTCTTTTTGCATACCAACTGTATGTTTTGTTTCTCTAGCACATGGCTCCAGTTTCACTTAACACAGAGCTAGACGGTGTGTGTGTGTGTGTAATAGGTGATAAAATTGTTTCAGTCATGGAAAACTGAACATATGATTGAACAAATACAAGTAATTTTTATATGGCAATACATTAAGTGGATCTCAGGAATGGGCCTATAAATCTGAAATATGGACGATACATTTTGTTTTGTTAGGAATTGTATAAGTCTAATTTCCTAAAATACTAAATAATTTATATGGATTTGTAAAAGGGAAATCACCACTGTGTGGCCACTATGGAATCTTGTCTATACGTTCAACCAAAGCAGAACTACTCTTTGAAGATGACATATTCTTTTTAGACTCTCCAGAATGAGATCTTTCCCTTTTGTGCCGGTTTGTTTATTTCAGAAGTTCTGGTATTAACAGTTGGCATATTTATTTATTTTGAGTACCCTCTGCTTTCTGTTGATTGCCCTCAGATGGAGCCATCTGTGTGTTCACCTTGATACAACTGAGTCCACCTATTTGATATCTGACCTTAACTTTCTCAAGTACCAGTTTCTTTAAAATTATTTATTTAATTGTAAAAGTGACACCAACAGGATACATGGGAAAAAATCACATGTAATTCCAACATCTTAACATGACAGCTATAACATTTTTGAAATATTCCCTTTTGATCTTTTTATATGCATATTTTATATACTTGTAAATCATAATTTATGCATAAATTCGCAATTTGCTTTAAAAAATAACCCAACAAGACAATCCTGATTCTTTTAAAACTCATTTGAGACAGACCTAGTCTGTAGAAGACAACACACACACACACACACACACACACACACACGCCCCACACTTTTTAATGCCGGTGTAGGATTATAATAAAGTAACCAATAGCATTGTCAATGGCCTTAGAAGCGCAGACTGTATTCGTTCATCTGTAATAACACAGATGATTTAAGTCGTGATGTTTTTACTCTCCTGAAGGAAAAATGAATTTTACAAAACAGGCAAGGGCAAGAAAGAGGACGGGCACATACAAGCCTTCTCCACCTGCTAATAGGCTGAGCCTGCATAGGTCGCACTTGTCAGCTATGATTTCAGGTTCATGTGATTGATATCTCTGTGGTTAACGATTTGATGTCAACCTAGATAATATTTACTTTTCAAGACTCTTATAACTTGCTACTTCATTCAGAGGTCAATATTTATTTTTCCCTGTTCTTTTCATGGAAAATAATGACCTCAACAGTAGGAAACCAAAGTGTTTCTTTTCCTTTCAGAGAGGTTCAGCATTAGAAACCTACTCATAAAATTGACGTTTTAAAAAGACACATAAAGAAGGCAGGGCGTTCCTTACATCTACGTGTCACAAGTGTCCAACAGAAATCTCACTTTTCATTGGGCCCTCTTTACCGCCAGCCTGACTGGGCGAACTGGTGAGAGCTGGCCCTTAACATTTGTATGTCTTTGTTTTCTTTGGTGAAGCAGGGTCCGTGACAATGACTTCTTTTGTCATATAGTAGGTGGTTAGATATGCAGTTTCTGGAAATAGTGCAGACTGGAATGTACTTTGAATTGTGCCAATGAACATGGGGATATTTTGCTTGGTTTTTAAGCTAAGGCTGATTTTTCCCCCCTGTCACTTAAGGGCCCCCTCTCCAATTGCCAGTCACCAGTAAAAACGCGTGGAGGGGATGGCAACTTATCCTAATGTTAGAATAAAACAATCTGGAAGCGAGAATATACGTGTATTGCAAAGACTTTCTTTGGACTTAATCACAACGTGGTTCTTCTCAATACTATGGATAACAGAATCCTCTTAGATTGCTTTTAAGTCCGAATTTACACAATACTGTTGTCATTTTGGGTTTTAGCACCTCCGAGTTCATACTCAGTATCTTGTAGGGGAGGGTGCTGGTAAGGAGTGTGAAGGAGATGGCAGGCGGGTGTCTCCTAGGCCTTGAACCAGAAGGCTGCTGTCACATAGGGTCATATAGGCCGCTGTCATCGACTCCTCAAAGGAAACCTCATGGAAAGGGCATGGTCGCCATTTTATTTTTAACACAGAGCCTGGCACATGGTTAGTGCTCAATATTGATGAAACGAGCCTCGGGTGCCCAACTACGTGCACTCTGGCCGCATGAAAGAAGTTTGAGCCCCTGGCGCTGAGCCCTTGGGACCAATGGTCTGTAATTAAAGGCAAGACTTCCACAGAGCAAGATGAAAGGTTGGCCTTAGCCGTCAGAAGCCCTTCATTCCAGCAGCCCTTAATTGCAGCGCAACCTCCACGACCAGAGCCC